AAACCAACAAAAATTTTCAAAAATTTTCATATTCTCATCACCAACACGCATATTTTCCCATCCTGCTCGAAAAAACTGAAGACTTTTGGTATTTCGACTTCTATCACGAGGGTGGTATACCTCAAATATCGCTCAAGAAGGGGAGATGTGACGAGATCCGGTGCTTTCATTTTAGCTGTTCTGGTATCCTGGAATTATGATGTGTTGACGTTGTGGTGCTGACACTTGCAATCTCGTTATATCCTATTGTGTAGATAATTTAGGTTTAGTGGTTGAACGGTTACTCCAGTACCTCTTCTACTAGTATTACTGCTTGCGTTCTGAGTTCATATCTGTATAGAGAGTAAGGGTGAAGGTTCACACAGCGAGGGAATCCATGATGATTCGAGCATGAATACGACATGTACAAATTTGGGTATGCGTACGACAGTAGCACGCAAGCCCATATACTAGATATTCGTGAACAGAGAAAGCGATTCGTTTACTGCTGGTGCTGAGCTTGACAACTTATCTGCTACTCCTATCGGATGCTTGGGTCCAAGGATGACGAAAGTTGATAGCGACTTCTTAGGGATAGGGAATTTTAGGGTCCTTTTCTCGAACTCAGCCTTTAGTGATAAGGCTCCGTAGTGGCGTTGTCTAAATGTCGTGCTACTGGTCACCAATGTTAGAGTAGGAGGAATATATGTGATTGCTTTCCTCAGCACCTGAGCTCAGCAGGAGTTCAGAATACAGAAACCAAGGAGAATTTTCACAAATTTCCTCTCAGAATTTTCATATTGTCATCACCAACACATGTAGTTGCCCATGATGTGCATCTGTTGGTGACCACAGTCTTCGAGCGGATCATAAATACCGACCAAGACTTACGCGACATCCTCATCCGGCAGTTCATGGAATATTTAATATGTGGCGCGCGCTAAACGCAGCGCGTTGTTCATGCATTTTGCAAAAATAGTGACAGCCTACAAGAATTTAGTGACAGACTCTGGAAGGCCTGTTAGAGGAATTCATAGTATTATATTTCCTGTCTATGGCCACATCTACAGAGGTGCTCCTCATATCATCTTCCTCCTCCTCCTCTTCTTCGTCCTCTAGCGATTCTGAGAGTTCCTCTGCGCCTCCTCCACCGTCTTCAATTTCCCTGCGTTATCACGGTCACGTTCTTGCTGATAAAGATGTGGATCTGCTCGGCCCTGGTCAGCGATTAAACGACAATTTGATGGACTTTTTCCTGAGTGTTTTTGTGAGTGTATTCGCTCAGAATTCGGCATATGCGTTTTCGACGTTTTTCTACACGCAATTGGCGCAAGAGAATCTACAGGACGGTTGGGAGAGGGTGAAAAACTGGACGAAAAATGTGGATATTTTCGCCCACGATTTGCTGTTATTCCCCATTAACGAGTCGAATCAGCACTGGTGGCTGCTGGCGGTTGTGCGGGCGAAGGCTCTCGCAAAAGAAATCACCGGAGTGCCTACTTGTGCGTCCAAGGGATGGTTGGTAGTCTTCGACTCGAGGAGCTATGAAGACGACGATGAAGAGGAGAAGAAAATTTTGAGATTTTTGCAAAGGAAAGCGGCGGCGACGATCGTGTGGTATCTGGGAAGAGCTTACTGTGAGAAGAGGGGGCCTGCGAGGAAAAAAGTAGATAAACCTGGCATTTCCAGAATTCTGAACTCGGCGGGGATATTTCCGGAGAAAACGCCGAAGCAGCTGAACGAATTCGATTGTGGAGTGTTCGTGTTGGAGTTTGCAAGACGGCTTTGTTATGTCCGACAGGAATTAACGGCTTTGGAGGAAATCAACGAGGAAAAACTGAGGGAATTGGGAGTGTTGCGGTTTAATCAAGTAACTGTTAGGAGGAGGCGAAGGGCATTGCAAAAATTATGTTTTCGATGGGGAGTTGAAGTGACGTAGAAGGGACCTCGCTGAGGAAGCCGGACGAGACGCGCTTATGGAG